CATTAGCTTCATAGGCGCCCCCTTTGGAATATAAGCGTCCTATGTATAGTCATCAGAGACATCCCTATATGTCCCACAGTTGTCGCATACAATGTGCGCTTATCATAGGTCTCTCTTTTATAGACACTTGAAGGCGTCTCTCTTTGCCATGCCGGCGCCCCTGTTTCTTATCAATGCACCCCCATGGCATTGATCAATTGCAATTTGCAGACCTCTATTGCATGTGGACGCCCATATATGTAGGCCTCAGAGGCGCCCCTCTTTCGCATTGAGGCGCCCCTATGGGCTTCATAGGCGCCCTCTATTGCACGTAGGTGCCCTACTGTCTCAGAACCGCTCCCCTTTGGCATGCAGACGCCCATCTTTCGCACGGAGGAGCCGCTGTGGTTCTTAGAGACGGCATGGTGCTCCCAGACGCAGATGGGGCTCTCGGAGTCGACGGTGTGGGACCTTCAGTCGCTGATGGGTGCCCGCCAGATGTGGATCCTCGGAGACGCCGGTATGGGGCCCTTAGAGACGCCGGTGTGGAACCCTCAGATACTTCAGTGTGAAGCCCTTACAATTGCTGGTGTGGAGCTATGAATGTGCTGGCTTAAATCCCTGAGTGGCCGGTACATGGACATTAGAGCTCAGTGAGAGCTTGTGTGGTGCCTTCAGCGGCCTTGTGGAGCCGTTAGACATCAACATGGTGCTCTTAGAAGCCGGTGAGTCCTCAGAGTCACCGGTGTGGGGCCTTCAGATGTACCTATAGAGCCTTGAGATGCACAGGTGTGGTGGCCCACAGAGGCGCCGGTGTGGGGCCCCCAGAGCCACCGATATAGGGCCCTAAGAGACACTAGTATGACCCTCAAAGGCGCCGCTGTGTGGCGCTCATAAACACTGGTGTGGAACCATCACAGGCGGGTGGAGCCGTTAGAGGCCAGAAAAGGGCCCTTAGATGCCTACAAGGAGCCTTCAGAAGCCGGCGTGGCACCCTTATGGGGATAAGCGTGTCTACTTAGGAGCCCTTGAGGTGCTCTCATGAGCTCTGTGGGGCCCTACCGAGCCGAAATATGGCCACGGCCAGCTGCCGCCGCATGGCTCTTCGGACTATCATTCTCAGGGGCCTCATCTGCCTAGTTTGAATAGAAGGGCCTCTAAGACATCAGTCTCATGGGCCTCCTCTGGCTAGTAGAAATAGAAGGGCCTGTTAGACCATCAATCCTAGGGGCTCTGGTTAGTATAAATAGAAGAGCCTCTCAGACCATTAATCTCAGAGGGCTCCTGTGGACAGTGTAAATAAAAGGGCCTCTCAGACCATCAGTCTCGGGGGCCTCCTAGGAAAGTGTAAATGTGGATAGAGGGCCCCCTCAGATTCATTAGGAGTGGACCTCTCTGACTATCAGTCTCAGGGGCCTCTTGTGGCCAGTATGAATATAAGAGCCTCTCAGACCATCGGTCTCAGGGGCCTCTTCTGACTAGTGTGGATAGAGGGCCCTCCCAGACCACCGGTTTCAGGGGCCTCCAGTGGCCAGTTATATGAACAGAAGGGCCTCACAGCCATCAGCCTCGGGGGCCTCTTCTGACTGGTGTGAATATGAGGGCCTCTCATACCATCAGTCTCAGGGGCCTCCTCTGCCTAGTGTGAATATAAGGGCTTCCCAGGTCATCAGTCTCAGGGGACTTCTGACTGGTGCCGGATTGAGGGACCTCCCAGACCGAAAGTTTTGGGGGTTTCCTGTGGCCAGTATGAATAGAAGGGCCTCTCAGTCGTTCAGTCTCATGGGCCTCTTCTGCCTGGTGAGACTATAAGGGTCTCTCAGGTCATCAGTCTCAGGGGCCTCCTCTGACTACAGTGTAGATGGATAGGCCTCCCAGACCATCAGTCTCAGGGGCCTCTTCTGACTATTGAGGATAGAGGGGCCTCCTCTGACTAGTGAGGGTAGGGGGCCTCGGCTAGACCGCCAGTGTCAGGGGCCTATTCTGACTAGTGTGGATGGAGGGGCCTCCCAGAACACCAGTCTCAGACCTCTGACTAGTGTGGATAGAGGGGGCCTCCCAGACCGCCAGTGTCAGGGGCCTCCCCAGACCAGTGTGGATATTGGGCCTCCTCAGATCCACTAGGGTCTCTCAGGCCATCGGTCTCAGGGCTTCGACTGACAAGTATGAACAGAGGGCCTCCTTAGATCCATCACGGCCCCTTGGAGTCCGTGCGTGGGCGGAATTCGTGGAACTTATTTTTACCGAGTTTGTTTATTCTGGAAGGTGACGACGTCTTCTCAAATCGAGACGAGGGGCCTCGAGTAAAAAGTGGGTGGGCCAAAACACATGGTTGGCCCCCCCACCTCGAAAAGTGGGTGGGCACTTGCCTACCTGGCCCCCCCCCCCCTGTTCCTACGCCTATGTCGGTAGTGATCATTCATTCGAGTCACTTGGGTGATTCATTAACCCTCGCCCCGTTGGGGGGGGACTAATTTGGCCCCCCTGTGGTTTTTCCTGAATAGCAGGAAAACGGCGGCGCGCAGCGCCGCCGCCGCCGGGCATCAATTTAACACCTTCACACCGAATTTCAAGTCTTAGGTCACCTTAGGTCAGGAGTTATTGAGGTCAAACTGAGGTCATGTTCGAGCAAAATGAGCAAAAAAAACATGCAATCTTGAAACGCTCACCAAATCTACAGTTACCAAGCAATTTCAAAGTTCTTTATATGGTCTGGTAGACAAAAGCGCTACAAAAATGCTATCTCGGATTTTCAAAATTTTGGGTTTTGACCCCAAAAATTCTAAAATTGATTTTTTTACAGAAAAACTAATAAAAAATAAAAATCCGAATTTCGAAAAAACCGGAATATATGTGATAGTCCCTGCGCTCTTCTATATACATACCAAATTTCAGATCGATATCTCGTTTTTTGGCCAAGTTATAGCGAAAAAAGCTGTTCAAAAATGATGTCAAATTTTTTAACTCAATTTTTAGCGATTCTAGATCACATAGGGCAAAACAAAGACCACCATCGAACTCCCAGTGACGAGCTGCATCGAATCGTTACCCATTTTATGCAAACATATTAACTTTGAAATTTGATCTAACTTGACCTGACCTTCACCAGAACATAATCTAAACTGACCCCAAAGGCTGCCTGACACACATAATCGTATTTGACATATAAAATGGACCATAATACATGCATCACATGATATTTTCATATTGTGACCCTCAGTGACCTGACCTGGTATCACTGACCTCAAATAGCAAAATATGTGTTTGATGAACGTTTCCCCCATCGATGTTTTTCAATGAAATGCATTTTACTCGATTTTATAACGCATTTCTTGAAATACCTGTAAACTGTGAAAATTCGACCTTTGATCTGACCTGTGACGTCATCGGTTTGACCTAGGTCAATAAAATTGGGTCACGAGGTAGTTCCCTGATAGAGCTATCCAACATCGTTTGCCGCTTGTCGCTAGGTTGCGTGGTTCTCGAGATCTGGGGGGGGGGGGAGCAAATTGCCCCCCCCCCCCCCAACAGGGCGCGTTGCTGAGCCCAACGGGGCGCGGGTTAACCCGCGCCCTGCTGGGGGGGTGTTTGAACACCCCCCTTGTGGTTTTTCGCGAATATCTCAAAAACGGCGGCGCGGAGCGACGCCGTTTTTGGTATACCTTATCATACATCAATTCTACACATGTTGTGAAAATTTCAGACCAAGGTCATTCAAGGTCAGGTCACCAGGTCACTTGAAGTGACCTCACCTCATAAAAAAGTTTCAATGTCTGTCATAGCTACACCGAGTGACCGATCGCTTTGAAACTTTCAGCGATTGATAAGAGTAACAGTATCTATAAAATGTATATCTCGGAATTTTGATATCGGTGACCTAAGGTCAGGTCAATTTTGCGACCCTCCCCATTATAAGTCAATGGGAGAAAATTGCAATGCGCCTCTTTTGGACGAAAGACATTATAAACACTCCCAAACACTGAATTACAAGTGGTTTAGTCACACTGAACATGAAAATGGTGTCCGTGACCCTTGTTTATGCCCTGAGGTCATCTTAGGTCACGAATTGTATCTAACAGTTTTTCGCAAATAACTTTTGATAGAGGCATGCTAGAGCGATGAAAACGCCTTAGATGTGTTCAGCTCGACGATACAGATCGACTGATATGCAACATGACCCTTTCCGGTCAGGTCATGACCTTGACCTGAGGTCAAATTTTCAAGTTGACCTTTCAAGGTCAAGTTATAGTTCATTCGATGCGTCTTGGCGAGAGGAACACGATGCCGGTAAAAGTAAGCTCGTACAAGGCTTGGGTCAAAAGTTATTGCCGAAAAACTGTTTCCGAAAAAACCGGCTATTTTTGCAGTTTTTGCCCCCTGCAGGCAAAACCGTTGACGTTAGGTCAAATCTGAGAGAATTACTCAGAAAGGGCGTTAATAGGGCTATCGAATGCGCTTTTCCGCGGCGCTGTAGCTCTATTGGTTCCCGAGTTATGCGTTGGCTTCTTGGAAATTTTCGATATTCGACCTGTCGGCGAAATTTTGCCTTCAATGACCTCTGGTGACCTGACCTTTGACCTGACCAAAAAATTGACCGAAGTGATTTCGTCATTGTTTTTGACGCTCTTTCGAACGCCGCCTTCCGCGTATCGCTACGTGGCCCAGGAGCCGAGTTACAAGGGGGGGGTGTTCAAACACACCCCCCCCCCCCCAGCAGGGCGTGGAAATCCAGGACCCCCAGCCGGGCGCGGGTTAATAGCGAGCCCCCAGTAAATCATGCGTGACTTGTCATGTAAATTCTTTCTGACAGGCAAATTTTAACAGGTCAGCGAGAGCATAAGCCAATGGTATATAATACGTCAAGGCATCTATGTGCCAGCGGCGCAAGAAAGGCCGTGGTTAGGAGTTAGGGCGGCTAATCGGGATCAGGTGTTGGCCGGCACCGTTACTGGCACATTGCGTGCGAGGTGCGGTGACCGGCAGCTGCGGCTGATGCGCCGCGCGCCGGTCAATGAACGCACCTGGGCGGTCGGCGCTGGCCGCGCGCTGGTCGCTGCTGGCCCTGCGCTGGTCGCTGCTGGCCCTGCGCTGGTCGCTGCTGGCCCCGCGCTGGTCGGCCGGCTCCGTCAGCTCCTTCTCAGCACCTTCCTCACTCCGCTCACTCCTGTGCCTGCGAACAGAGCCACCGATAGCGGCGTGACAGACGGCGGAACACGCCCACCGACAGCGGGACGGCGGAACACGACCACCGGCACCGTCCATTTGAGAACACACACCGGCCGGAAGGAGCGCTTTGACTAGCTTACCTAGGTAGTGAAGTCACCTTTGTTACAATTTGAAAGACGTTTTCGACAAAAAAAAAAAACGCACTTCAAAACGATGTAGAAATGAGCTATAAGCTATAAAAAACAGATTGGCACATTATTAAAACTCTAGTTGTCTTGTGGACGGTGTCTAGTGAATAATCAGCAGTAGGAGTGACAAAATCCCCCCCCCCCTCCCCCTTGTCAATAGTGGGTCAATAGTGGTAAGTCCCATTAGTAACCATAGTTAGAAGCAGGAGCCTTATGTATGTTTGTAATGTAAGTACGTTCTGCTACTTTAAGCACGTCCTCACGTTTGTACTACGTAGCACTGCATATTGACAGGTATATTCTGCCGCAATCGGTCTTACTCGATAGTCGACAGCCTATACTAACCGTGGACAACAGCCAAAGACCACCACATCTGAACTGATGAGAAAAAAAAGGAGCTCAAGGCACCCGCAATAGCACCCCGTCACCCCACCAACCTCCACAGAAGCAATCACCGTCCACAGGACTGCATGTGCTAACGGTGACCGCGACAGGTAGCAAATCGCCGTTCTGTATATCATACTGAACGAGGCGGGTGTAAATAAATTTTCGAGACCGAGGTCCTTACTGGATTTTTGAACGAGACCAAAGGCCGAGTTCACAATCAGTAAGGAACACGGACGTATAATTAAACGTCCGTAGTATGGACGTTTATTTATACGTCCGTGTTAAGGAATGAGGTCTTGAAAATTTATCACCGGCCGAGTTTGGTAATTGGTACGTATTTTACTGTATGCAGTAGGTATGCAGTATGCAGTGCAGTGTGCTTCTAGTATGCCCAATATCCGAAATACACAAGATGTTTTCCATTATTTTCTTCAGGAGGGCCACACCTCCGGGACAAACTGAACTACATGCTAATATTCAAATTCCGGGTGTCCTGGTATTATCACTCAGTCGAGGGTGGAGGGCAAGTACAAATAAATTAGAGCCAATGAAACACCGTCGGAGAGAAGGCGAGGCAGTACCTCCTCATTTTCAGTCACACCCAGGCAGTGAGGAGAAACCCCCCAAATTTGCAGTGGGAAACCCGTCATCAAATGCACGGATGGTTGGCATTCCCAATTTCCCAATCACTGAGTCAGAAGAATCATGATTAATCGGATAAAACTTCAGTGCAGTTTTTTTTTTCATCGGATTTCCCAGAACCAACGTATGCAGTGATGCCTGCGTGCTTAAAAAGCATGGGTCCCGAGTCAAACAGCCGCCGATAACGCAGTCCGCACTGACAGCCAGCTGGGAGTTAGGTAAGAGGGCGAGAGGCGGCGGCCGTCTCGTAAACGTCAGCGTAGAGCTCCGTCAGCCGGGCCGCCGCCGACGCCGAGAGGCCGGCCGGCGCTGACGAGCCGAGGCCGACCCATCCCCGGCGGGCGCGCGCCGGATCCGGAGGCCGGAACCGGCCCGGCTCGCCCACCCCACAGCGGTCCCAGGCGGCCGCCACAACAACGCAGTCGAGCGTCAGCCGGCAGTGACATCAACGGACCGAGACCAGCCCCTGGCAGTCCGGGCCCCGCAGCGGCGGGCTGACTGGCAGTCCGGGCCCGGCAGCCACGGGCAAACAGGCAGTCCGGGCCCGGCAGCGGCGGGCTGACAGGCAGTCCGGGCCCGGCAGCGACGGGCTAACAGGCAGTCCGGACCCGGCAGGGACCCAGCTGATGGACTGGGCCCAGCAGGGGCTGGTTAGGTAGCGGTCCGTGTCCAGAGGGACTGGCTAGCTGATAGTCAGGGTCCAATAGGGACTGGGGACTGGTCGGGGTCGCGGCAGATACTGGTTGGGGTCACAAGGAAGACTGGTCGGGGTCGCGGGTAGGTCGGGGTCACGGGTAAGACTGGTCGGGGTGGCGGCAGATACTGGTTGGGGTCACAAGGAAGACTGGTCAGGGTCACGGGTAGGTCGGGGTCACGGGTAAGACTGGTCGGGGTCGCGGCAGGGACTGGTCGGGGTCACGGGTAAGACTGGTAGGGGTCGCGGGTAGGTCGGGGTCACGGTTAAGACTGGTCGGGGTCGCGGGTAGGTCGGGGTCACGGGTAAGACTGGTCGGGGTCGCGGCCGATACTGGTTGAGCCACGGCCACACCGGACCGTGTCGGTCAGATGTGGCCGGAGGCGGTCGGCCAACCGGATATCTCCGCACCCATAAGCCGGCAGTTACGTGCGACTTGTTAGCTCGCTTGAATTGTTGCCTGGACCGCCCTGCAATAAAACTGACAAGCTTTCAAGCAGCAACTCTTGGAACGCGCAGACCCGATCCTTCCCGAGCCCGGCTGACGGGAGTGACGCATTTTGGGGAACTGTATTCGGGCAGCGTCGCGGGAACGGACTATTCAGCCGCAACTAAATAAGGCACCGTTCACAGTCAAGGTGTGCCTAGCGCATCTTTTCTCGGCTGATTGCGAGCGAGCGGAGTCTTGCGTAGAATAGTTCGTACTCTTTTGTGGAATAGTAGAAATTTCTCAGTTTAAACGGCATGCCGGCCATGGGGACGCTTTTGCGAGGCTTATATCTTCGCAAACACTGGACACGGTATTTTTGTAGGGTATGTATAATGTAGCTTCATCCCTTCTATCAACTATTGGACTATCCCGATGCATGTGGGTGACCCCTATTGCATCCGCCGCGTGCAAAACGAAGAAACGTCAGTTTTGTAACGATTACAATAACTCGGTAACTTCTGGGCCGATTGCGCTGAAACGGGAAACCTCACATGCTTCCATTTGTCACGGTTGGGTTGCTACTGCACGTGCGCACGCGCAGGGGTTACTTTCAGATCTCGAGAACGACTGGAACGATTGCATTCAAATTTGGTACACGGTTAGGGACCGGCGAGAAGGGCGCCGTGCACAAGTCAATTGGGTTCCAGCTCGCACGTGCGCACATGCAGGGCGACGCTTCCAGATCTTAAGAACGGCTGGGCCGATTGCGCTCAAATTTGGCACGCCGTTAGACACCGGTTAGCACGGTGCCGTGCACAGCTCAGTTTGAAGTACTTCCTTGATACCGGACGTGCAAGGCTCACTCGAAAAAACTTATCTACGCAAAACCCTCTCACTCGCTCGTTTGTCGCCCCAAAAGGCGTCCTATTGGTTGCACTGATAGCACGATCCGTTGATATTCGACAGGTTAATGCACGGCAAAGATGACTCTCGAAGGTTTAACAGGTAGAACGCAATAGATCTGAGCGTACGTCACCAAGAGGCGCTCCCGGCCCCGTCTGACGTCAACGGAAGGCCCGACCTTGTGTCCGCCGCGAGAGTGGGGGCGCCGGCTCCGGAGGGCCGTACCCCACCTCTGCTGGGGAGACACCGAGGCGGGCTGGCGATGTGAAGAGCTGCCGATGAGACTGGGAAGTACTAGTACGAAGTACGCGAAAAATCAATTAGTGGTGAACATTTTTTGCGGTGCCAAAGCTGGAAAAAGGACCATGCTGGGAGACCACACTGACCGAGCAGGGGCGCTTCAAATTAAGGCCCTCCAAACGACTAAAGACGAGGCCACGTCTTTCGCAAACTGGCAACAAGGCCGGCAAACGGCAATGGCTAACGTTCTGTGTCTAAAACGACAGTTACCTACAATATGGAAGCAGCAAACGGTCTCAGGCCATCCAAAAGGCTTCAGTAAATGTTTGTGAGAATCAGCACAAAATCCAATAGAAACGCTGCAACTTGGTGGCGTCTAAGAAGCTAAAATAAGATTATCTGGATTGTCGAGTCTCCGTTGAATACGGTAATAGGATACAGCTGACAGAGACGCACAACTGTCTGGTTTCCGCGACCGCGAGGAAGCTCCCCATTCAGCCCAGAGCGCCCAGGGGTTGGCATGTCGTGCCGCATAAGAAGATTGTCAACACAAAGCACAGTGTCCGCGAGGGCCGCTGCCGGCGCTTCAGTGTTTTGTCCATGAGGGAGCGGCCCCGTCCCGGGGGGCGGGCGGTGCCAGGTATTGTGGTGCCTATTTTCACCAAGGCCGGTGGTCGGGGCTCACTAAAAAAAGACCACAGCGTGGTGCAGGGACGGCGGCTGGCCGGCCTTCTGAGAGGTGTGGCACGGACTCACCACAGACAAACCTGATGGACAGCTCAAATAATGCCGGTGAACCAGGCGCCGGCGACTTGGTCGGGTGATGGGTACGGTGCCGTCAGCGTCACGGGTGTGAAGTCATAAGGACGTGCCATTAAAAACTATCTGGGGTTCAAACAATAGCTTGTGGTTGAAAGGTGCCTTAAAACGTGAACAAATCATTGCTCGCTTCGAGATAAATCGACCGACCTGCAGCAGGAAGTTTTATATCAGGTCATCACTCATGACCATCACATTAAAATTCGTAGCAACTTTTGAAGCGGAGATAGAACACTTAAGCGTTTAGAAGTTTGAGACACCCCTACCAGAGTGTGAGCCACTTTAAAGGGGTCGAAGAACGTCCAGCCTGTCCGGCTCACGGTCGGCCGACCACCGCGCCGCTGCGGCACGTGTCAAAACTGCGGGACTGGCAGCTTATCAGGCAGACCACATCTGCGCCCCAACCTGCCCAGCACTGCGTCGCCCATAAGTTATCGGAGACGTATACGACTTTGACACTCGGCACGGTGGCCGATAGTGTAATCGATACAGGAAGACTGCGGACCAAGGCTGTCGGTGATACCTCCCTCTGAGCTGGACAGGGAGGTAATCCGCGGACCGCAGAGGGCTGACACCCTCTGCTGGGCGGGGGTTCGGCAGGCAGTTCTTTTCTGTGACATGCCGCGCTCAGCACATAGGGCGGCCGGCACTTCAGATACGACAGCGTGGGACCTTAGGTTAGTTCCGCGCCTGGGACGAAGAAAAAACATTGGATCTCTGACATCCTCAGGTGTTTAACTAGTTGCGTAATACGGCCTGCGCCTCGAGGTGGTTATACTTTAATCCGCATACTTTAATACTGGTTCTGCAGTGTTTTTCTTGTTATCGTTACGTAACAGTAAGTGGATTTTTAACGTACGCTGCAGCTTCGTTAAGCCTTTCAATCGAGCACTGTACAGCCCCAGTTGGATCAGAAGCGTGCAAAACATAGCACCATGTTGTATCTTAACCCGCGCCCCGTAGGGCTACCGGCGGACCCTACCACCCGTAGGGGGGGGGGGGGCCGTTTCGGCCCCCCCCCCCTAAGATCTCGGAAAGTTACCGGCCGATTTTCAAAATTCAAACGGTGTTTGATAGCCCTACCCGGGAACTACCTTGTGACCAAATTTCATTGACCTAGGTCAAACCGATGACGTCACAGGTCAGGTCAAAGGTCAGATTTTCACCGTTCACAGGCAATTCAAGAAATGTGCTGTGAAATCGAGTAAATTGGTAATTTATTGAAAACCATCGATGGTATATTGTTCGTCAAACACATACTTTGCTATCTGAGGTCACTGATACCAGGTCAGGTCACAGCGAGGTCAGGTCACCGGGGGTCACAATATGAATGTGTCGTGTGATACATGTTTTATGGTCCGTTTTACATGACAAATGCGATTATGTGGGTTAGGCAGCCTTTGGGGCCAGCCTAGGTCACGTTTTGGTGAAGGTCAGGTCAAGGTCAGGTCAAATTAGGTCAAATTTCAAAGTTGATATTTTTGCATAAAATGGGTATCCATTCGATGCAGCTTGTCACGGGGAGTCTAATGGTGGTTTTTGTTTTGCTCTACGAGCTCTAGAATTGCCAAAAATTGAGTTTGAAAATTTGACGTCATCATTTTTGAACAGTTTTTTTCGCTATAACTTGGCCAAAAAACGAGGTATCGATCTGAAATTTGGTATGTAGATAGAAGACGGTAGGTACTATCACATATATTCCGGTTTTTTCGAAACTCAAAAAACTTTTTGGATTTTTTGGCTAATATATCCAAAAAAATGCTTTTTTGATTTTTGGGGATCAAAACTCAAAAATTTCAAAAATCCGAGATAGCAGTTTTGTAGCCCTGTCAATTCTACACCTTTTATGTCTTGATCATTTTTCTGTATCTTCAAAGCTGTAGGCCTGACAGGTCTTCTCGCGAAGGTCTTTTTTCGGTCGAAAATGACAGAACATGACGTCACTCTGACGTCATTTGTGGCCAACCTATCACAGCCTCTGGAAAAATTTTTGGTCACAATGTGTAAAATTGATGCCCGGAGGGGTCCTGAAAGTTTGGTGGCGATATCTCCAGCCGTTTAGGAGATATCGACCGAAAAGGACAGGGGGGGGGGGGGCGTTTCGGCCCCCCCCCCCCCTACGGGGCGCGGGTTAATTTGTATTAACGTTACCTACCTCAGTATCAAACACAATCTCGTAAGAATGCCTAGTTAACCACGTCTCTCACCAGCTACAGCAGAGTTTTGTCATTTTCTCATTCATCTTGATTCCCGAGAAACCATATGACCCGTCGAAGATGCAATCATGTTGCTGTCACGGCACAAGGACGGGAGTACGGATAAGGACAATATGGGAGGCTGCAGGGACGCCGTAAGCACGAAAAGGCCAGTGTTATCAGGTGCAAATATAATCCGGAGGGAGCTGCTATCGGTGGTGCCGCTTTCGGCTTGTTGTCGCCTGGATTACAGCTGAAAATTACCGACACCCAATTTACAACTGGCGCTGTCAAAAATACTATATTATCAGATGAACACTAATTGATGTACACTAATTAATAAGAGTTCGTAGCCGGATCTCCGTAATTTGCGCGCTAATTAGGAAAACTGTGTAGAGTGCATGCTTCAATAATTGTTCAACCAACTAATAAAAACATTGAAATAAACGGCTTTATGTATTAGTAGTCTTTCGCCAATACTATATCGCCAGAGGGAATTTCGTGCATTACGGATTTAACAATTACTTACGGCATATTATACATGAGCAAGTAAATGCTCATTAAACACGGATTTTTCACTGAGCATCGGCCACAAATCCCTGAATAATGGCATGCCATTTGCAGCTCTTGAGTCTCAACTATTCGTTTCTCTAACCAAACGTGTCCATTTTATATTATATGACCTTCGGCAGTGAGTGGCTTCGTGTGTGAAAATAGCAACATTTCGATGATTTCGAAACACCAAATATCCTTTCTTGGAGGATGCGTTTATGTAATATAAAAAGATGAAAACATATCTTCCCTCGACAAAACAGTTGGGAAACTAATGCCAGCACTTTACAAGTGTGTCTTATCTTTGTAGAGGAGCCGGACAAATGCTTCCCCTTAGAAGTTATGTTATGTCAGTACCAAACTGAGGTATTCTGAGCAACCCCCGGGTGTAGGCGATTTACAGTGTGAGCGGCCGGTGTGCGCGCTCGGGTGACGGTGCTGCCGCCGGCCCGCCGGGCGGCGCGCTCACCTGTGCCGCTGGTCCCGCTCCTGCTGGTGCCGCTCCCGCTCCTGCGGGTCCCGCTCGGCGTGCCGCTCCCGCTCCCGCTCCTGCGGGTCCCGCTCGGCGTGTCGCTCCCGCTCCTGCTGGTCCCGCTCGGCGTGCCGCTTCTGACGCTGCTCCTCGCGGGCCTTCAGCTCCTCGGCGCGACGGCTCTCCTGCTCCTTCATCCTCTGCCGGCCAGAAACGCGGAAACACGTCAGAAACTGCGCGGAAACAGCACTACTTAGGGCAATAGTTAGCTTCACCGGTTATCCGAGCTTCACCACCATACGCCAAGCTCACAGATCGTCCAACACGTGCACGATAGAGCATTAGACGATTTCACGCCACAGGCGGGCAGAAGTGAGTGTGACTCCCATACTGACCGCAGAATCTGACATTCTGCACTGAAGCGATTGAAACCAGCGATAAATCGGTGAACACTTAAACCCTCTCAGATCGACGACCTTCCCAGTAGGATGCATTCATTTCCAAAGGCATGTGCGCGCAGGGCTACTACAAAGCCCGTGGATAACCGAATCCAGGCACAAGTTCACAGCATATCCGTTACCGTAAGGCGGTACAAAGATCTGGGCTCCAATAAGCGGCAGGAGGCCGGCTCACCGCGGCTCGGAGGTCGCCGGCAGGCTGCGGGCGGCGGTCTCACCTCAAACTGGCTCAGTTTGATGGTGCGCTTCTGGGCGACGCGCCAGTGGGGCGGCGTGCGGCTGCGGGACCTGGCCATCTCAGGATCATAGCGCTGTCACAGACAGCAGGCAGGTCAGCAGACAGATATCACAGACGGCAGACAGGTCAGTAGACAGATATCACAGACAGCAGGCAGGTCAGCAGACAGATATCACAGACAGCAGGCAGCTGCCACAGACATTAAGCAGCTACCAACGGCGGCAGACAGTAAATCACAGACAGTGGACAGCTACTTAAGACATTATGCAGCTACCACAGACAGTAGACAGCTACCACACACAGTAGGAGGTTACCGCAGACAGTTATGAACAACTAACACAGACAGTATGCACACAGTTATACGCAGACAGTATGAGTATGATTAGACAGCATGATTATGAATCTATGGCACAGCTAACCGCCTAGACACAATTTCATCGAAATCTGAGAGGTGGGGTGTTTTGGCTTGTTCGATCTGCTGTGGAACACCCCAGCTACCCCAGACAGTAGGCAGCTACCGCAGACAGTAGCTGCCGCAGACAGCTTCCACAGACGGTAGGTGGCTGACCACAGACAGTATGCAGCTACCGCAGACAGTGGGCAGCTACCGCAGACAGTAGCTGCCGCAGACAGTAGGCGGCTACCGCAGACAGTAGCTACCACAGACAGTAGGTGGCTACCACAGTTAACAAGCAGATACAGCATGGTAGGCCGGGGCGGCAACTTACAACGAAACCTCCAGACGTGCTACCAGACAGCATCAAACTCGCACAGCCAGTGAGCCCGAGCCGAACCCAGGCTGATTTCACCTCTACTCGGATAACATTGAGATAGAAATACGGTTGGATATTGTGTGGATGGGGAAACATTGGCCAGCCCGCAGTCAGAGCCAGCCTGCAGTCAGCTGTGTATAATATAGGTGTGGTTCTGCGTGCCATAATTATCGACCGATGCCGATGGGGTAGCGCGCGGTGGGCGGTGGGCACCGTACCGCCATTCGGGCTGGGTATGTGTTGGATAGGGACGGGCGGTGGGGCACCGTACCGTCATTTGAGCTGAGTATGTGTTGGATAGGGACGGGCGGTGGGGCACCGTACCGTCATTTGAGCTGGGTATGTGTTGGGGAAGGGACGGGCGGTGGGCACCGTACCATTCTTCGGGCTGGGTATGTGTTGGGAAGGGAACGGGCGGACGTGGGCACCGTACCATCCTTCGGGCTGGGTATGTGTTGGGAAGGGGACGGGCGGTGGGCACCGTACCGCCATTCGGGCTGGGTATGTGTTGGATAGGGACGGGCGGTGGGCACCGTACCGCCATTCGGGCTGGGTATGTGTTGGATAGGGACGGGCGGTGGGGCACCGTACCGTCATTTGAGCTGGGTATGTGTTGGGGAAGGGACGGGCGGTGGGCACCGTACCATTCTTCGGGCTGGGTATGTGTTGGGAAGGGACGGGCGGTGGGCAACGTACCGCCATTCGGGCTGGGTATGTGTTGGATAGGGACGGGCGGTGGGGCACCGTACCGTCATTTGAGCTGGGTATGTGTTGGGGAAGGGACGGGCGGTGGGCACCGTACCATTCTTCGGGCTGGGTATGTGTTGGGAAGGGGACGGGCGGACGTGGGCACCGTACCATCCTTCGGGCTGGGTATGTGTTGGGAAGGGACGGGCGGTGGGCACCGTAACATCCTTCGGGCTGGGTATGTGTTGGGAAGGGGACGGGCGGTGGGGCACCGTACCGTAATTTGAGCTGGGTATGTGTTGGGGAAGGGACGGGCGGTGGGCACCGTACCATTCTTCGGGCTGGGTATGTGTTGGGAAGGGGACGGGCGGACGTGGGCACCGTACCATCCTTCGGGCTGGGTATGTGTTGGGGAAGGGACGGGTGGTGGGGCACCGTACCATCCTTCGGACTGGGTATGTGTTGGGAAGGGACGGGCGGTGGGCACCGTACCGTCAGTCGGGCTGGGTATGTGTTGGGGAAGGGACGGGCGGTGGGGCACCGTACCGTCATTTGAGCTGGGTATGTGTTGGGGAAGGGGACGGGCGGTGGGCACCGTACCGTCATTCGGGCTGCGTATGTGTTGGGGAAGGGACGGGCGGTGGGGAACCGCACCGCCATTTGAGCTGGGTATGTGTTGGGAAGGGACGGGCGGTGGGGCACCGTACCGTCATTTGAGCTGGGTATGTGTTGGGGAAGGGGACGGGCGGTGGGCACCGTACCATTCTTCGGGCTGGGTATGTGTTGGGGAAGGGGACGGGCGGTGGGCACCCTACCATCCCTCGGGCTGGGTATGTGTTGGGAAGGGACGGGCGGTGGGCACCGTACCGCCATTTGAGCTGCAGAGTGGAGGCAATCGGTCGTATGTGTTGGGGAGGGGGAGTTACTGCGCTGCGATCAGTCGGAGACAGGAGCGAAGTACGGGCGATACCTTTTTGCACTACATCCGCTATAATTTCAGTAACTACAATTCAAAACGAACACATGTCAGCTTCATACACAGCAGCTGCACAAAAAAAAATTGTGCCAAAACATATGATTTTGAATGGGTTATAATAACACATTGAAGGCTTCAAGCCTCTACTAAATCATCAAATGTTAGGTTCAAAGCCTCACAATACAATACAGTAGTCCAAATGAAGTGTTGAAGTTCAGGACGCTGGCGCAGTGCTTTGATCCCATCCCGGCCTGGCCCAATGTGGGCGGCGTCATCATCAGCCTCTTATCAAACAGCTAGCCTATCACTCACCAGAAAGCCGCGCCCTTTGACCTTTTTTCCGGCGCGTATTTCGGTGCGCGAGCGGCGTCGCTGTCGGCTGCGCGAGTCGTCGCCGCGGTCCCGGTCGCCGCGGTCGGGGCGGTCGCGGTCGCCGCGGTCCCGGTCGGGACGGTCGCGGTCGGGACGGCCGCCGCCGGACCGCTCCAGGAAGCGGTTCTCGGGCACGGCCGGGATCTCGTCCGGGTCGATGGCGGTGGTGGTGGTGAGCGGGTGCTCGCCGCCGGCCGGCTCCTCCGCCCCCTCGGCCGGCTCCGGCGCGCTGCGGGCGGCACGGACGGCCGACGGTCAGGCCGACGGCGCAGGGACGGCGAGCCAGCGGCCGGTACAGGGAACGAAGGGCCTCCGCCGCTGCACCAGCCCGTCACTGAACTCAGTCATGGGCAGTCATAAAGCAGACCTTCTCTGCCCGGCAAAGCCGGGGCAGAGACCTTCTCTACGGTGCGCTTGAAAATGCAATAAATTGCCATTTAAACGAATCTGGTTCTACGGTTCAGCACTGGCAAAGCCGGGGAAGAGGAAGAAATCCCCCCCCCCCTGTCTTCTTCCCTCGATATCTCCTAAAAAGGTAATGCAGATATCGCACCCAGACATTCAGTAGGTAGGTACCTCTTCCGGTATCACCTTTATACAGGTTGTGCAAAAAAAAAAATCGGGAATGCCCTAAAACCTTGTCTCGTTAATCAGCATGCATTAATTGGGCTCAATGGTACAACGAACTTACGGCACTTTCTCCTTAGCATGCTTATCTTTCTTGTCTTTTTTGCTTTTCTTCTTTTTGCCTTCCTCCGATGACGCGCTCCGGTCCCGTTTCTTCTTCTTCTTTTTGTCTGTAAGGACACCCAAAATAAAGGCAGATTTCAGTTTCATTATTCGAAATTGGAAATCAAAATCTCCTAACTGAAACTAGTGCAAGTTTGGTAAGCAAGTTTATCAATGTCATAGCAGCGACTTTTGGTGCCTAATGGACTGAATAGCGATTGCTTGCGGATACCTAGCATACAAATTTATATTCATTCTACTTATTCATTCTATTTAATCCGTTCATTCTATACCTTATATTTCTGTTCATTTTTATTCAAATCACATCAAAAGATACATAGAATAGAAAGCTGTCTGGGAGCAGCATGCCAACATTGCTGTCTCTGAAGGGCAAGTCTTGCTCACTGCTGACCGGAAGATTATCCAGGAATATATGTAGGTACGAGGGCAGGTAGAGGCCGCAGACGCCGACACCACTGGCCGCCATACACGTCTACTCCCCGTGACACGGCGGCATATGTAACGGACGGTTATACACGGAGCGTGGGGCGTCAGAGCCGCCTCGGACTACCCGCACCACTGCCGTACCGCCACTGACGGCGGCGCACCCTGCAGCCCGGGACGGACGGGCCGTACCACTGCCGTACCGCCACTGACAGCGGCGCACCCTGCAGCGGCCTCGGACGGCCCACACTACTGCCGTACCGCCACTGACAGCGGCGCACCCTGCAGCGCCGTACCACTGCCGTACCGCCACTGACAGCGGCGCACCCTGCAGCGCCGGACGGACCGCCCGTACTACTGCCGTACCGCCACTGACGGCGGCGCACCCTGCAGCGCCGGACAGACGGGCCGCCCCACTGCCGTACCGCCACTGACAGCGGCGACAGCGGCGCACCCTGCAGCGCCGGACGGGCGGCCCGTACCACTGCCGTACCGCCACTGACAGCGGCGGACGGACTACTGCCGTACCGCCACTGACAGCGGCGCACCCTGCAGCGCCGGACGGCCCGCGCCACTGCCGTACCGCCACTGACAGCGGCGCGCCCTGCAGCGCCGGCCCGCCCCACTGCCGCACCGCCACTGACAGCGGCGCACCCTGCAGCGCCGTACGGACTACTGCCGTACCGCCACTGACAGCGGCGCACCCTGCAGCGCCGGACACCGGTACCACGCCCACACCGGTACTGACACTGGCTGCGGAGGGGTGTCAGGTGCTTGTGATAAGACGGCCCTACGTCTGTTTCCCCGCCACATCCGAGTCACGGGCCCGGCGACCAGAAGCGCCACCCCTGTGTGTGGTCTGCAGCAGCAGCGCTGCGCGCTCACCCTTGTGTTTGGTCTGCAGCACCAGCTGGCCGCAGCGGGCCACGCGCACGTCCTGCAGTGGGCGCGACTTGTTGTCCGTGGGCACGGCCTCCACCTGGGAGACCACTTCCTGGCCGGACACCACTTGGCCAAACACTACGTGGACGCTGCCGGCGGACGGGGGGGGGGGGGCGGTCAGCGCGCCGGCCGGACCGCAGCGGCCGGTGTGGCGACATAGCGGCGAGATACAGGAGCAGCACACACGTCATAATGCTCAACTGACACCAAATTCAAGGTAACGGAGACTCGGCACGATCTACGTTTAGTAACGTTTAGATATGATCAAAACATCAACGACAAAAAATATCTGAGCAAGTTTAATATCACATCAGATATGTTAATGCATTTGGTCCATTAAATTTACGTTGGAGCGACTAACACGGCAGTGCGCTGTTGTTTCGGCGGCGAAACTCACCCATTGAGATGTGGAGCAGGCTGAGTTGTTCTACAACGACAAAACAAACGGTTGGCACACGGTAAACCTCCAGGACAGCTCACACGCTACGCAGAGACGAAAACGATCAGCGTGTGTTCAGTGGCAGTCATACAGAGACACGGCACTGCGGTCACTGTGTCAGTGACGGGTCAGCAAAAACAACAGGGAACAAAATATACAGTCGGCTGAGAAATAGCCGAAAATCAGTATCATCTAAATTTAGCAGCGTCATCACCTGATGACCTTCAATGCATAGGTATAAATCAAACCAACAGTCTGCAATCAAATCGCTGGACCACACTTTAATTTCGAATTCATCATCCTCAAAATATCAGCACATTAACCCGGCGGCCGCTGGGCCTCCGCGTCACCCGCCGGCCGCTGGGGGGGGGGGGGGGGCATATAGTTGCCCCCCCCCCTTTACTTCTGCGACGATATCGTCGCAACGCGAAAAGATAGAGAAGCGAAACTTTGCACACATCTTCCTGAATACCTAGCCGAGGTTGTGTCTAAATTTGGTGTTGATCCCATTTGAAATGACGTCACAGTGACGTCATAAGTGAAATTATAGAATTGCGACTCTCATATTCCTCACGATACATCAGATATATGGGACCGAATATAAAGGACCGATTATTGGTCAGAAACTAGATGGAAGTGTAGTTAGATGTTTTAGGATGACAGCAGGTGCAGCAGCTGTCTAGTTCATTTACAGTTGAGTTTCATGTTCAGCGTCGTCAGAAACGGTCCATATCGGAAAACGGCAAAACTTTATGACGTCACTGTGACGTCATCTTAGGTGCTACAAACACCAAACTTTCCTCAAACATTGCCTAGGTATTCATTTGAAGCTATGCCAAGTTTCACGTTCGTAGCTCATCAGGTTTCGGAGATATTTCACAAAACGTAAAGGGGGGGGGGGCAACTTTATGCCCCCCCCCCCCAGCGGCTCGTGGGTTAACATGCTAACTAGATAGCAGATTCGTGCTGGTTGTTCGTTAACGCTAATGCACCGATATTGAGAGCTGACGAAGTCGACCGGGGTTTTCGACGTTACAAGTGGCGGCCGTAGCCAGTGCACTGTCAGGGCTGCTCACAGGAAAAACTGCGAGCCGTTGGTATCCTTCCCGCGGTTGGCCATCGACAGCAGGAACGGACGGTCGTGCTCCAGCTCGAAATTCTCATCTGCAAAAAAAAAAACAATAATTCGACTTCTCATTGTCATGTACGGTCTACTTAGATCCTATGGATAGCTTCCAGGAGATAGGGAGCGGAAGCTGCACCGTACGCCGCTATTGACGTCTACTGAGCCGCGGTACACCGTCAAAGGTGCCACAGTGCGCTGCCACTCATCACTCACCGTCAAATATGCCGCTAAACGCTGTTAAATGTGCCCTGAAAGCCGCCACTCACCGTCGAAGGTGCCGCTCAGGCCGCCACTCACCGTCGAAGGTGCCGCTCAAGCCGCCACTCACCGTCGAAGGTCCCGCCGTAGATCGATTCGCCGCCGGTGCCGTTACCGGCGGAGAAGTCGCCGCCCTGGATCATAAAGTCGCGCACGATGCGGTGCAGCTTGACGCCCTGGTAGTGCAGCGGCTTCTGAGTGCGCTCCCCCAGGCCCCTCTCTCCGGTGCAGAGGGCGCGGAAATTCTCCGCCGTCCGAGGGCACACATCGCTGAACAGCTCGAACACCACTCGGCCCAGCGGTACGCCGTCCACCTCCAGGTCGAAGAAGCAGCGCGACCGCGCCTCCGACTTCACCGGCATAGTGGCAAGGCTGCAAAACAAACCTCGTCAGTTGCACAGTGTTGATGGTAGGGCACAGAGATCTGGCCATGGCAGATTAGGTTATCTCTGAAAGGCACAGAAAGAGGTGAATAAAAGAATATTAGAAAGCAAATTACCTTAAAATGATTTTGAAAGGGATGACACAGACGATAAGCACATCTCTTTTTGACACAACTTATCCCACCCCTCTTTATGCATTGGAGTGATAAGCAAGTTCCCAATAATGAGTTTACAGATGAGTAACACACAAAATATTAACTCGCGCACCGACGGGGTCCGCGCCAACTTAGAACCGACGGGGGGGGGATATCATCCCCCTGAGATCTCGAGAACAAAGCAAGTTAGCGAAAAGTCGTAAACGGCGTGGGGTACACACGGACAAGGTCTACAATTTTTACTCCAGTCAGGTCAACAATGACGTCACAGGGGTAAAGAAAGTCAAAATAGCTGTGCTAGATATGAAGTTATTTTTAATAACTTTCGAAGTAGCCAAGCTAGGAACAGACTAATAGCACCATCGTGATCCTCTCGTCGATCCGCATGGAGACATAAGCCTCGAAAGGTCAAGGTCAAAGGTTGACCTCAGATTACGTGACCTCAAGGTCATTATGCATATCATTTTATGCGCCTTGACGAGCTGAACACAATGAGACCATCAGCGCGGCTGTATCTCGTTCCTGTAAGAAGTTATTAGCAAAAAACATTTGGTGACCTTTGATAACGTCTCATGACCTTACAGTTGCTCAAGAGCAAAAGAGCATCAAGGTAGTCAAAGTTAATCGTATATGAAGTCATTCATGGTATATTAGTCGATTCTGATGCGTTGTGAAAAAAATCAGGCAGTTGATTGACTTACAATGGGGAGGTCAAGAAATTGATTTGACCTTAGGTCATTGATATCAAAATTCTGAGATACAAATTGTAGCTACCAATGACCTCATTATATCCTGCAACTTTCAAAGGACTCCGTCATCTACTGTAAAGGCCTGGCTACACTATGCGTTTTCTGCGTGCGTTTTTTGCGGGTTTGCGTTTTTTGCCTAATATCGTTCTAGAAAAAAAGTAAAAAATAATATATTTTTTACACTAGTTATATGCAGAAGTTAATATAACTCTTATACTTTTGCCAAATTGTCAGGGAACTCAGATTTGTTTTTCAATAGAAAAACACAATTCTAAAGAATAGTGTTTTAACTATTGACAACAAACCTTCGGTTATTAACTTTAATTGAATATAGAAAACATCACAAAAACATGATATCGTTTATTTTTCTAGAACGATATCGCGCAAAACCCGCAAACACGCAAAAAACGCACGCAGAAAACGCATAGTGTAGCCAGGCCTTAACTCTGACATGGTGACAAACTTGTGAAAAAGTGATTTGAGGTCAGGTCATTCAAAGTGACCTAGTGACTTCAGCTTGAAAGGTAGGAGGTTCAAACGTGCAAACAATGTGTACAATTGATGGGGATTAGGGGAATACTCATGCCAAATTTTGCTCCTCAGTTTTGAGTTTCGCGGGTTAAGTAGTAAGTAGGTACCTGGTACTGTGAAGGAGTATTACAAGCCACAGGTCTGTAATTACCTTTTATGGCAAGTCAATTATTCAAAATAGTTTATATTAGGACCAATTTTTTCAACCAATGTGTGACCAATCAATGTGTGACCAATTGGTCCTAATATAAATTATTTTGAAAAAAGACTTTTGCCATACCAGTCAGTATGAGCTTAAACGATTACCTTTTAGCTAAGTCCTGGCTCTTTGTGTCTGTTCATCTATGTAGTTGTCTGTGTATCTGCCATGAATGATCTGAGCCCATGGTGACAGTCGGCACTGATACTGTTTTGAACTCTTCAGACACTAGACAGTGTCAGCGGAAAAGTGGTTTGGTGAAGTAAGTTTAGGCAAAAAAATTATTTTTTACTTATAGAACATTTTTTGAAAAATGTAGCAAAAAACTTTGCGACAGTACACAGACAACTCATAGCCTGTGGCCATGCCGATTCAAGGTGATTTATTTATGTTAGCGGACCCTTTTATCATTCATGCATCTTGAATTGTTGCTTTTACCACAGATTATTTTATCTCAACAGTGCTTTGCTCCAGTGCCATTCTTTTGGAGTGGGCTGGATGCCACATTTGCATTTCAATATCAAATGGGGAGGTGTCAGTGACACTGCGGAGTGCGGAGTCCGCAGTGAGGACTTCGAAACTCGCAAGTTGAAGTAGCTCGAAACTAAGAGTACGTGGATTTATTAAGCGGATTCTACTGAACTTAACTGAACTGGACAACCAAACACAAATACCTGTCTTAAAAATAATGCATCATAACTCATAAGTCATAACATATCAATATTTACACTGTAAATATTACCACCTTTCAGCATTCCACGTCGGCGTCTATCAACAAAAAACACACCGTGCGTCGTTTTCGTAAAAAAAGCACGACGCAAGGTTTTACTAATGTCTAATAGTTGATTTCGTTTTGGCAGCTGATCACCTAATGACGTCAAGGAAAGAAAATAATTCGCACAGTGGCGTACGCAAATAAAGGACATTCCGTGCATGCCCTGTCCCTTTGGCTCATCGTCCCCGGCGCCCTCAGTGACTGGCGCCCCTCTGTCCAGTGTTGGCGCTCCTCCAGTCGATAGCGGCGCGCTTCTAGTTGATGGCGAAGCCCCTCTGTGCAGTATTGGCGCTCCTCTGGTGATAGTGGCGCCCTCCTAGACGATATGGTGGGCCGGTGGCGCCCCTTTGTCCAGTATTGGCGCCCCTCCAATCGATAGCGTCGCGCTCCTAGATGATGGTGGGTGGCGCCCCTCTGTCCAGTATGTCAGTTATGTTCGTTCCGCACGTGTACGAACATAACTGACACATTCAAGTTTCAGATATGTGGCGCCCTCCTTGTTGTTGGCGCCCTCCTTGATTGGCGCCCTCTCGTCCAATGCCCTGGTCCTTCGCAAATTCCTGGGTACGCCACTGGCTTCGCATCACGCATGGCTTCGCAGATCCACAGGTAGTTTTCGTTTGCCAATTCACAGACCACAGAGGCACAGACCACATTTAGAATGGATGGTAATTTTCTCAGCACTAAAAACCGGTCATTTTGTGGTATTTTCGGCAAAACTAGGCATTTCCAGTTAATTTGAGGTATAACAGGGTCATTTAGCACCTAACCAGTTATAACACCTATTTAAGGGACTTTTTTTAGGGGAAGAATTTTCTTGTCCAAGAGTGAACTGAGCCTACCGTCCGCCCAAGCGTACTGGTCCGCCAGTGCTGCTGTCTTTATTCTGTCAGGTTATCTAACGGCGCTATGGGCATGTAGGTACAGCATTGCAGTAGCAAATGCTTAACCCTCGCATGTGTGCGGCGTTTGCCAGCTTCTAATGTGTAGGGGGGGGGGTCGGTTGGACCCCCCCCCCTTGCCGTTTGGCCCCTGATCGAGCTAGAGCTTCGCGGAAAAAACGAGCGTGTTGCCCGTGACGAGAGGAAGCCGATGATACCCAATTTTAAGGTCCCACTCTTAGGTCATTGGTTGACTTTCCAGGTCAGGTCAATGACCCAAAGTCGGGAAAATCGGGACCTATTAGAAAGTCTTAAAGCATGGCTGCTAAGGGGTTTTTCGGGGTGCTGATCACGAATATCGTGTTAGTTTTGATCGGATGGTAATTTTCTCAGCACTAAAAACCGGTCATTTTGTGGTATTTTCGGCAAAACTAGGCATTTCCAGTTAATTTGAGGTATAACAGGGTCATTTAGCACCTAACCAGTTATAACACCTATTTAAGGGACTTTAGCACTGCTTTCAGTCTAATTCGCAGTACTTTTAGTTTGAATGGCACCTAATGGTAGTCATTTCGCACTATTTTTGGTAGATGTTTAGGCATCCCTACTAAATCTAGAATGATTTTAGTATATTATGGAGAAATAAACTACAATACTAGTCTGTACTAGCTACAGATTGTTTGCTGCCAGGTCGATTAGCGTCTGTTTCGGCGCATGCGTTTTGAGAGGACCGATAGGACGCAAGGCGCGCTTCTTGGACGGATTTGGCAAGGAATTTGGATAGATTGATTTACGTACGGCCTCAGCGTGTGCCGATCATCCTGCCTTTTCTTGTCCAAGAGTGAACTGAGCCTACCGTCCGCCCAAGCGTACTGGTCCGCCAGTGCTGCTGTCTTTATTCTGTCAGGTTATCTAACGGCGCTATGGGCATGTAGGTACAGCATTGCAGTAGCAAATGCTTAACCCTCGCATGTGTGCGGCGTTTGCCAGCTTCTAATGTGTAGGGGGGGGGGTCGGTTGGACCCCCCCCCCTTGCCGTTTGGCCCCTGATCGAGCTAGAGCTTCGCGGAAAAAACGAGCGTGTTGCCCGTGACGAGAGGAAGCCGATGATACCCAATTTTAAGGTCCCACTCTTAGGTCATTGGTTGACTTTCCAGGTCAGGTCAATGACCCAAAGTCGGGAAAATCGGGACCTATTAGAAAGTCTTAAAGCATGGCTGCTAAGGGGTTTTTCGGGGTGCTGATCACGAATATCGTGTTAGTTTTGATCACAGATGATGTCTTTAAGCATTTAGACCAGGTCGGGTCAGGTCAGGTCAGGTCAACCAGTAGGCGTCGTGACGGGTATTCGTAGTACGTGTCAACCGCCTCTGGCAGCTTCGTAACATGTTACGAAGGCACCAAAACTACTTCGTCAATGCTCAAATGGTTGCTAAATTCGAATTCAGCTCCAAAAACTAGCCTAGAAACATGTAAAACTCGAAAAAGTGAAACCGAGGTCACCCGAGGTCACCAAAGGTCAATGACCTGACCTGACCTTCAGGTGACCTTGACACCCACTCTAATGCATGGGAGCAGCATCAAATCACATGTTTGAACGTTTGAAACCACGAAAAGCTTGCAAACGCGCGGCTAATGCGAGCCGACATACGCGGAATCGCGATTCCGGCCAAACATGGTCTCGGAAAAGAGGTCACAGGTCAAAGGTCATTTGGGTCAGGGTCATGAAATTTTCAGGGTAGGTGTAAAATTGATCAATGCGAGGGTACTGAAAGTTCCGTCGCGATCGGCTGCTTTTTACGCGAGTTATTCGCGAAAAACCATTGGGGGGGGGGGGTCCATCCGACCCCCCCCCCCCTACACATGCGAGGGTTAATCTAAATGTGCGGTGGCATTTTCCCATGCTTAGTAGGAAGCGCTCGACGTCCCTTCCGTACGTGTCGTGGAAGGGACGTGTCTGACTGTTATTGACGCACATCAACTAGATGGATCTTGATTGTAGCATTTCGCAGCAGCGTTTCGTCGTTCAGCGGCCTAACGCCTAGCCAGCTCTCATTTCGAGGGGGTGGTACTTTGCTGAGGAGCATGAGTGGTCACGCTGCATCGTGAGCCAGATGAAGCCGGAGGGCAGACCGTGTACCGTACATTTGTGTACATGATTTTGTCCCACGAACCTAAGCGATGCGCATTTTTGTCCACAAATTTACCTAATATATACCCAGCATGCCTATTAGTCGTTAGGGGGCAGCACCGGGCGTGGTGTATTGCGTAGAGGGCAGGACCTATGCAACAAAACTTGCTCCAATTCCGTTTTCATCGTGGAAGTAATACGCTGAATGGAGGATCATACTTTGATGTCCAACTTACGTACAACATAAAAAATAAATACCTCAAGGCTCAAGAATACTGTGATCATAGCAGTAGCTCGTGCTCGGCAGTGAAATCATGAATAGTGCTCATATACCGGATTTAGTGCAAAATGAGCTACCACACACCCATTTATTATGCCAGATCTGGCATCGCCTCTATACTAACTAAAATAGTGCGGAATGACCGGATATACCTGTGTTTGACAGGAATTGCCTGCGAAAAGACGATAGTGCAAACTGAACTTATGATAGTGCAAAATAACTGAAATTTAGGTACTGAAAAAATTATCCCCCACGAATATTTGGCTAAAATGACGACACTTGGAAATCAACGTTGACGACCACAAAAAGTAAAAACCAATCCTGTGCGATAATTAGTGCTGATAATCTTACTGGCAGGTTCGCGAACAGAATGCAAACGATGCAAACGATAAGTCACATGTAAGCCAGCATGACGCATTTGATACAAATGCAAGGTTTTGGCGACGTCTGTCAAATCAGCAGCAACGAATATCAGCCTCACAGCAGCATATTTCGGAGTCTTTCAATTTGGCTGAAAATCGGTATCCAGAGTCTCCTCGATGCGCTGATTCCGAAAATATGCCTCTTTGGGGTGGTATTTTGCACCGTTAACGAGTTCATGACCAATTAACATTTTAACGGGAAACGGCGGGGTCTTTCGATTTAGCTGAAAATCGGTATACAGGGCCTCCTTGATGCGCTGATTCCGAAAATGTACCTCTTTGGGGCAGTATTTTGCACCGTTAACGAGTTAACGGCTAATTAACATTTTAACCGGAAACGGCGGGGTCTTTCGATTTAGCTTAAAATTGGTATACAGGGCCTGCTTGATGCGCTGATTCCGAAAATGTACTTCTTTGAGGTAGCATTTTGCACCGTTAACGAGTTAACAACCAATTAACATTTTTACGGGAAACGGCGGCGTCTTTCGATTTGGCTGAAAATCGGTATACAGGGCCTCCTCGATGCGCTTATTCCGAAAATGTGCCTCTTTGGGGTGGTATTTTGCACCGTTAACGAATTAACGGCCAACTAACATTTTAACGGTAAACGGCGGGGTCTTTCGATTTAGCTGAAAATCGGTGTACGTTCAGTGTCTCAGGGGCAGACAAACAAGCCGCCATGTGTTCCTAGCCATCGTGGCTGTGAAGAGTATGCGTTTTGTTTACGATTCGCCAAACAATGCATAATACATTTGCTCGTTGAAAAAAAGAAGATCATCTAGTTAATTGAAGTATTCGGTGATATGAAAAGGCTGTGGCATTTTTATTTAGTTTCCTCAGGTTGAGATAATTTAGATCCAGTGTTATGTTCCTTTGCGGCATTGTGTTCGGTATGTTGTCCTCGTTTGCAAAATATCTCATGTCTGATCAGTCACTATTCCGGTTTATACTACCCGTTTCCGTAATAGACGTATTCCAGACGACAGTGGCATTAATATACAAAGATGGACTCGTTTTAAGTTTTTTAGTCTAAAAATAACGTATTCCTGTTTAGGTCTTCGTTGTCAATTGCCACGAGTGGATTAAATTGTTACTCGTAGGGAAAGAGCCCTGCTCCAATACTGAGTAATGTTTGTGTCAAATGTGGAAAGAAACAAGTATTCATAGGGACTGTGATTTTGGGCGTTTACCTACCGTTTCCGAATCGCCACGACCAGTAACTAGCGGCGGAACACCCTCAATTAAGGGGGGCACTGTCGACTTTTGATCCCATTCTTTCCATGCAACGCCCATAGGGCTAATGTTAAAATGCCAAAATCAAAGGGGGCACGGTTCCCCGGTGCCCTCCCCGTTCCGCCGCCTATGGCCACGACCATGGTGGCGACTGGCGATACCCGAGTACCTACAACCAGGCACATAGCCAATGGAGGGACGACAGGGTCAGCCGTCTCTCCCTGGAGATGGACCACTTTTATTTTATTTTTTTATTTTTTTGTAACTGAAAATGTGGGCCCCTCCCGAAAAATAGTGGGCCGAATCCGGGGACTTTTCGGGTTTTGGTGGGGGTATACCCTGGGCTCCGGCAAACTACAACCCCAATGAAAAACAAAAAGTTCCACCACTGATGTCAATTAATGTTCGTGCCGTTAATAAATTGGAAAAAAAAGAAAAAAAAAGATACGGCAGAACGGCTATTTTTGAAAAATGATTAAAAATACTTTTGTGCTGTTATGACACATAAAACGCTTATCAGAATGTTCCTCATCGTGTGATAAAGCAATATCCGTGGTCGAAAATAGCTGAGCCCCTCCCAATTTCCAACCATCGACCTCATAAGCAAAGGATGTAAGCGTAATCCTTAAGGGTGACTTTCCCATACATATCCGTACATATGCGTCCTTATGGAAATCGGTAGTGTGGCGATTGGCGACGCGCGCGACATCTGTGTGGCGACCAAGTGGCGACTGTGGCGACACCTGGTGGCTGCTTTTCTGCTGTATGTAGGCATAGGGGTTTTGCCAGATATGGTTCCTACTGCTACACAACTATGTTGACCCAATACTAGAAAGTTATTTTGCCGGTAAAAGGCTAGCAAATTGAAAGTCAATTTATAAAATTGCTTATTAATGATAACAAGAAAATAATAAAGAAGTTTTGATTGAATATTTATTAAAATATCCAACCGTGAAACTATATTCTGGTAGGTTTAGTAGAAATTAGTCCGTGCAACCTTTAGGGCCTTGTTTATGTTTATCCTTGATTTCTTTTTATCTTGATAGTTGGTAATTTGTATTTATCATGATTATGACCAGGACTACGCGCACCGTAGTAAGTACCATTTATACGTTTCATATATGTTTGTATCTAGTTTCCTTATTCGGATTTGTTTGCTATTGTACGCCTACCTAAACGCCGTGTATTCGATCGAAAGTATTCGTTATAAGCGATAATATGTACAGTGTTTTTAATTTTGTATTATGTTTCAGGATGAAATTTGTACTGAAAATTGAACGCAAATTATTCATCACGGTGCCAACGTTCGTTTACGTTACATTTCATCTACGAGCTTTAACCCGCGCCCCGCTGGGCTATTCAGCCATACGCGCCCTGCTGGGGGGGGGGGGCAGATTCTGCCCCCCCTGTCTAACTTCCGAACCGATGGTCGTAGAAAGACGGGGAAAACGGCAATCGAAAGCTCTCAACAAGGCGGATCTTAAGAGCCCAAATTTTTTTGCTTAAGTAGGTCAGAGGTCAGGTCAAGGTCAGGTCAAGGGTACAAAATGCAAGTTTGTACAGTATCGGCCTTGCACCGTAGTTGCCGAAGAATGGACTGAGACTGATTGCCCAAAACGTGTTCTTAGACTACCAAGACAATATTCGTTGCACACAATGTCATTCAAAGGTCAAGGTCAAGGTCAGGTCAGGTCAGGTCAGGTCACCAAAAACAAAATATAGAAAAGGGCATGTGCGACACATGTTTTATGGGTCATTTTACTCATGGAATTCAATAGGCACACTCAATAAGTGATATGGACCACCTCTGGATGAATTTCAGGTCGAGGTCAGGTCAAGGTCAGGTCAAGTGAGGTCAAATTTTGAAGTTGGTTGTTAAGGCCTAAAAAGGTGTCTATCCGATGCAGTTTTTCACGGCGAATCGAATGGTGCTATTTTTGTTTCCGTACGAGGTCTAGAACTTCCAAAAAAATCATTTTTCAAAATTTTTGTGTGTCGTGACGTCATAAAATTTCGAATAACTCCCACATTTTTGAACCGATTCTTCTAAAAATTGGTATGTGGGTGCACATAGACCACGTCTTTGACATATATTCCGGTTTTTTCGATAAACTCAAAATTTTGGATTTTATAAATATTTTCCCAAAAAAGTCAGTTTTTTGGAAAATTTTTGGCCAAAATCCAAAATTTTCAAAAAACCGAGATAGCCATTTGATAGACAAAGTAGAATCACGTATAACCTTTTTTGTTACGTCTTGATTCCTTTAAAAATGAAGATGTTAGCGGCGTTTGAAATTTTGCCGTTTTTGAGGCGAAAATGGCGAACATGACGTCACTAAAACGTCAATTTCTCAAAAATTTTCCGACGGATTTCGCTCAAATTTTCAGGGAACGTGTCAAATTGATGTATGATAAGGTACTGAAAGTTTGACGTCGCTGGCGTAACGCGTTTAGAAGTTATTGGCGAAAAACGGGAGGGGGGGCAGATTCTGCCCCCCCCCCCAGCGGGGCGCGGGTTAACGTAACTCCAGACAATTTGATATACATGGAATCTCATTTACGGAAATTTAGCATATGGAAAAAATAGAAAACGAAATCAAGAAAATGAATCAAGACGGGGAAGAAACACTCGAAACGATCAAGCGGCTTCGAACGAATACAAGGCGTAGGGGAGAGTGGGGTGGGTTGTATCAGTTTTTACTCCGAGACCCATAACCTCGTAACTATCCGTGATAAACTCATTATTTCCATACCATCCCCTTCCTTGATTCTTCTGCTTTTTTGTGCAAAGTAACTTTTCCGCTACCTCTACCAGTTTTTCTTCTACGGTCTGCCGAATAGAACAATGTTTTTGATACAACTTGCCCCATGGCTTGGGTGAGTTGTATCACATGGTGGGGTAATTTGTATCACTATTTCACGTTTCAGGGAGTGTGCTTGCTACTGGTTTTGAACATAACAGCAACATTAAATGGGGTTAATACAATGTATAGGTATGCTCAAAGGCTTCACTTTATTAGACCAAACTTAGGAGTAATGCAATCCCAACGAAACATCAACAGACTAGACGCAAAAGTGGCCCGTTAAGAGCAAAGAAGCCAACACATTGTGCCGAAATGGAACGAGCATTGACTAGCTACCTACAACCGCGCGCCAGGGCTTAGCTTTCGCGATCAAAAGCAACATACCCATACATACATACATACATACATACATACATGTTACAACATACCCCACCCGGCTCTGATACAACATGTACCTAGCCGCCATCTTGGAAAAAACATCCTCGTGCTAAAAAAAAACAGCGGACAGCTGGAGAAATCCGTTTTCACTCACGCAGCCTTAGAACCTACCCTCACCACCGCTACGGAGATCTTTCAAATTCGTGCACATCTAAATGCCCAAAACACACATTTTCTTGCAACTTATTTTTTTAGAATGACATTAAAAAACACAAAATCGGCTCTCACCTCGAGACGCGTCCACTCAGCCACAAGACAGAACAGGGAAAGATGGCGCCCGGAAAACCTCGTCGGCTGGTCGTGTCGCGAGCGCCATCCATTGGATAAGTTTGGCACAATTCGCCCTGATACAACTTGAACATGATACAACTCTCCCCGCTCTCCCCTAAGTTTACCCGTAAATGCAATGCATTTATGGAATTAAGTCGTAATGACGAACACCTTTAAGTTTTGAAGGAAAAATTTGAGGATATCAGAGAAGCACATAAGGAAATTGACAAAGTCAACGATCGGTTGCTCACTGTTATAAATAGAACCGCTTCTCACGTAGTGATGAATTCCGTACTAGACGAATGTGATGCCTTTATGAAAGAGGTCGATTCAACGCTGGATTCTATCAGGGCTACATATGCCCGTCACATGCCCGAAAACGTTCCTAAACGATCAGAAGTACACGTTAAGCCTCTAGCCTCGGTTCTCGGGAAACATTCGCGAATACTCCAGTTTTCGGCAAGACTTCAATCGTTTAATGACAAAACAGTATGGAAAACAAGGCCATCTATAGAAGGTACAGTCACTCCCCCGCCGACCAATCAGAGACAGATCCTGAGTGACGTCACCCCTGATGCTCGAAAGGGGTACTCCATTCCTTTACAACGTAAAAATGACTAACTTCATTTGAAGATTGTTGGTGACACTCTACACATATCGCTCAACCATTGATGTCATTGGAAAGTCCAACTAATTTTCTAGCGATAAAAAAGAGCAGCAATATGCTTAGAAATGGCCGGTTTTGAAGATATAGACGATTTAAAAACCCTCTGCAGTTGCAGGAAAGCAACGTAAAAACGCATCGAGCTTATATTTTTACTATGAATATATCATTTTTCAGTAAGTTTTTAGATATGGTATCGATTTATTCAACAACTTTATTACAATATTTTTATTACTTGGAACTTTATTTCAAAATAATATTTTCAAAAATGGCAACTGTTGGCAAGTAGCTTTGAAGCGATTGTGGCGCGCCGCGCCATTATTGTCCTGAGGCCCCCATATGATGTCATCAAAAGTGGAGTGACATGGGCCTGATGGAAAAGACGCATATGCTCTGCGCTCTTGTTTGACCGGTCCTGCACTAGAAACAGTTAAGGGGGTCGAAGACAATTTTGACGAGATGTTTTATCGCTTAGACAAGACCGGTGATCCTAGAAAATTTGTTGATGCAATTATCCAAGAACTAAAATCCCTCAGAACTGTCCCTGAGGGAGACAGCAAAAGATTCATTGCTATGGTCGATACAATAGAGCGTTGTTGGCTAGACTTGAAGAAAATGGACCTTGCAGAGGAAATGGATACAGTTGCTATGATTAGCATGGTAGAGCAATTGTTACGGAGCGAGCGAAGCGAGCGTAGTCTTTCCTTAGATTAACGGAAATTTCTGAGTAGGGTAAGGGCGGGTAAGAGTACGCGGGCGATAAGAGTACGCATCAGCTGTTTCGGTTGCTTAGCAACGCGGGTTTGTCGAGTTCATGAAGTGACATGAAGCCGCCAGTGCGTGCATGTCACCAACGGAACGTGGGCGTTGAGCGGCGACGCTGTTGAGGCGATGAATATTATTTTCGAGCGTTATGATATTATTATGATATGGTACAATAATTTTGATACTTGGCAGTTGAGATAAGGTACATTTCCGTGATTGTTGTGGGAAACTTGTGAGGTTATCTGGGGAAATACTGTACAGTGCAATATTCTGTTTGCGAAGTTTTGCACAACGTTTCGGGGTTGTTTTGTGCGCGAATTGCATGTACGGTAAGAGGACGCACTGTTCAGGAGGGTAAGAGTACGCAGAATTATACATAAAATTGAATATACAGAAATATATAATTATTTATCTATCGCTCAATGACGTTTGTTTTGTAGGTATATCATCAATGAAGCACTGTGATGCAGATGCGTACCCGAAATTCTTCCAAATACGAGTTATTCTCCTTTTTGATTGTGCATTTTTTAAGAAACACTCGACATGATTATTTCCTGATTTATAGACTTGAAAGATTTATTTTATGTTTTTCTTTTTGGATACTTGAATTAACTTAAAGGGACCCTCCCACCTTCAAAAATGTTAATGAATTGGCATGAAAGTGATGTCGCTCGGTTCAGAAAGAGCAAAAACGAATATCTACCAAATTTCATCGAAAAATATTCACCGGTTTTCAAGATATTACTTTTACTTTTGTTTACTTTTTGGGATCTCCGCTGTTCCTAGCGACTTTATTTGAAAGTGCGGCATTTGTTGCGCGCAAAGCAGCATATACCACCGCGTGCTACTAAACGTTTTAGTCAAACATTTAACGGACGTTTGAAAGCCTGATGACGTCATCAGATTCCCGTAATGGTTAAGAGATAGGGACTACGCTGGTCCCACCCTGCAAGTAAAGGGAAGAAATTTCTTGAACACCATAAAGCTGCGGGGGTTGCAACCAGGATAAATGGTGGTTTCTGAGCCTGGCCGCAAACTTGGCTATCTCAACTCATAACTAATGTTAAGGTGGGAGGGTCCCTTTAAATGCCTTCTGAGTTTGAAGTTAAGCATTTGGACAGTGCAAGCTGCATAGGTGTGTGTTCATATGCTTG